AATTTTTCGATAATCCTGCTGATGGACTGCACGCCAATCGGTACTTAGCACATTAATGCATTGCCGTATACTCTTACGATGGATTACTAGGAAAAAATATTTTAATGTCGCGATTATCACGTAGCTTAGCGGACCTAGCAATTTGACTTTTTCGTATATAGTTGTTCGATCTGACAGCGTAAAAATGGTCAAGGGAATTAGAAGAAAACTGAGCGCGGACCAACATAACGCGAATGATATCGGCGCTAATATCTTCTCGATCGTTGTAGTATTCGAATAAACCAACGGCCAGATTCCGAGAATTCGTAGTATCCATCGAATCCATACTACTGCGTTGATTATATCTCTCTCACTATTTACATTTGACCAGGAGATATTATGTTTAGCCATACTATCGTTTCGATGGCGCGAGGGAGATTGATGCGTTTTGTCGATAGCGTGATAGTAAAAAATTGCGCATGACAATCAGAGGTGCTTTTGATAATGTATGGGTAGGAAAAGGGAGATGTACTTGAATAATCAATATTGTCGAGGGGAATATTACTTTGTCACAGTCGTATTTCTACCTACACGGAGAGTTTGTCTGTAGTATATAACACTGATTATGTTATTTCCGTATATATTTTACTATTGTATGTGATTAATTAAACCTTTTTTTAAGTGAACAATGAATTATGATTTAAAATTGAGTTTATGGAATTGAAAATGTTGAATGTTACATCTTGATAATAAGCAAATTCTTAAAGATATTGTTTTATATACAGGGCGTTCGGAAATTCAACCGCGATAACTTTTTCTTCTTATAGAACACTAAGAATTTTTTCAGAATTTTTTATATCAACTTTTTAGTACTGCATTATTTATTTTTACCAACTTGAGAAAATACGGTATTAAAAAATTTTGAAAAAATTTTGAAGAAATTCTCAGAATTTTATGAGAAAAAAATAATCAATTTTTGTATCTGTTATATATAGAAAGTGTATATACATGAAATGAGAAAAAATTAAACAATTTTTGAATCTGTTATATGTAGGAAGTATATATACATAAACATTTATATTATTTGATCTTATCTTTTAAAAACATGCAGGTAAAATAATCATAATATGAATCTTACTTCTTGAGAATTTTAAAATTAACATTAATTTTTCATAAATGTCATTTTTGCATTAAATAATTTATTTAATATGCATTTTTATCTTAAAAATATTGGTTAAATATATTATTTCTTTTTTGCATCAGAGGATATCAATGAAATGATACATGAAATAATTGCATGTCTTTTCATGTATCTACCGAATGGCAGTTCGAAGTAAGTTTAAATACGCAACCGATGTTTTTAAAACCTATAAAAATAGTTTATGAGCTATTACGTATTGAAATTTACTTGCTTAAAATTATAAATTTATTTAGATTTAATCATTTTAGATTTTAATCATTTTCGTTTTTTTTTAAATATTTCTCTTTTAAACATGAAAATGAATTATACTTACATTTCCAAAATTTGCAAAAGAGAGACTTAATAATCTTCCAGCAGTAATTTGTACCGGATGTCCAGACATATTAATCATCAGCATTAAATCAAGAGCGACTTTTCCGGGTAAATTGTACCATTCAATTGTATATGTAGTATTCCCGACTTTGCTGCACTGTGTATCCAATTTTGTATATTTGCGGATTACATATACATATCAGTTGAGTATATTATTTAAATACAGAATTGGCCGAAATTAAATTCTGCGAAATTATGGTAATTAATTTAGTCCGACATAAAATTTATGTATAAGCACCTGTTCCGTTAATAGTTCGCCGATGTAACAAAATATAAAGATGTTGAAGACAAATGAAACAAATAGAAAAAAGTACGTGAAGATTGCTATACCGTCACTATTGTTCCACTCCTGCGAATGGAATATCGATTTTGTATATTTTATCGGGAAATGTGAACTAGACAATGTATTAACTAAATGTAATTATTATTACTTGAATATAATTATGATTACTTGAAATGTATGAAATATTCCATTACCGTTAGCAGGGAATATTCTACCAAACACATTATCAGTGTTGTTCCTACTATTTCGACTAGACATAACTCGCGCAAGGTATCTTCGATGCCAGCTGAAAATCTACAAAGTTATGAGCGAGCATTCGTCAAATATTTTTAACAAAATGGACGAAAACATAATCAGATATTATTTTATCAGATATTATTTTGAATAATGTTAATTTTGCATATTTAAACTTTTATTTAAAAAATTTGCAGGATATTCTTGTGGAGACATTATTGAGACGTGTGGATAATTTTACAGATAATAAGATACAGTTAGAGCAAGA